GTGATTTTCAACCTTTTTAAGGTTGAAAAACATATTTTGGGACCAGCTGTAGATACTGGCATTGTAAATTGATGACAAAAAAATCACGATATTAATTAAAAATTTTGTCAATTAAAGCGAAGACAATTTTTACAAAATCTTTTATATCGTATGATAAAATTTTTTTTTTAATTATGTAAAAACACGAAATTTAACATGTATAAGATATGAGTCAATGGGAGGGGTCCAGACCCCGTGGACCCCCTTCGTAAATACGCCTATGCCGGTGTGTACTAGTTGCGGTCATAATCCAAAAGGTTACATACTAGTTGCGATCATTCAAATAATAATAACTAAGTATACTAAATAATATAATAAAATATAGTTTATATGATAATTAAATATGAAATTAATATTTCGTTTATTTATTGAATTTAGAAAAATGTATTAATCAACATTTTCCTTCCCATTTATATCGAAAAGATAAAAGACTTAGGACTATCTACACTATTATTTTTTGTGTAGGTATGGTTAAAAATGTTGATACCTACTTATGTTTATATTACGTGGTTAAACTTGTGTCAAAATATAGTATATAATAGTAAACTTGTGTCAAAATATAATATATAATAGTATAATAATAATAATAATTATAAATTTTAAAATTTTGTAGGTATAAATTGAAAGGAAATAACTTTACAGATAAGTAGTGGTGTTCCCACATATATACACTGTGTGCATTATATACAACTATGATAAGCTATGACCGCAACTAAGATATTACCTAAACTGGTGTATCTCAAAAATCGTCATGACCGCAACTAGTATGCAGCCGCCTATGCTAACACAGCACTGCTCTAAATACTTCTAGTACCCAGTACCTGTAATGGGAAGTGTCCTGTATTAATAATTATTGATATTGTTGTAAATTAGTTGAGTAATTATTTGTTACTTATTTTATTTATTTAAGGCTAGGAACTTTATGGTCTAAAAACCTAAAAATGTACAACCATTTGTTTTATTATTCTCTAAAAGTATGCAAAAATGCTTAAAATTAAAAATTAAATCAACATGTTTCATTAAATAATATAATAATAATAATACCCATACATTGGTCATATAGCTGATAATTTATGGTTTAATTTATCATATGAACAGTGAATGTGTTAATCATTAGTGGGAAAAAAGATTAAAAAAGGTTAGATTAATGTTTTATCTTACATCCAATTATATCAGTAATCTACAGTATTCTATACGTCTGCACTAACGTTTAATGGGAAGAAACTTTAATCAATTTTTGTTGTATACATATTTGTAAAGGGCGGAAGTGTTTGCACTGTAAACTTTAATAATAAATGGTCTATGATATGACAAAGTATATGTAATAACATCCCTTATATAACCTCATTATATGCCAATATAACATCAAAATATCTACTGAAATATAAATACGATAATGTGTAATTATAATTTTAATAAAAATAGGATGATGTATAATATATTAGAATTATATTTAATATGTATAAAAAATAAAGTAAATTTCAAATAATAAGCAATTATTTTATTGTTATTTTAACCTAAAAAATTACATAACACCATAAACTTTATTGGTTTTTATGTAAAATATACTTGGTTTCACTTATTTAAATGTCTAATAGTTTCCATGTTAAATTAAAAAAAAAGAAATATAATGAGTAATATAGGTACTAATATAATAAAAATAAGCTTTTCAAGTAAAATAACCATAAATATACAAGTATATGCAACGTACACATTTTACTTTTGTATTGTAAAGGTTAAAAATTAAACTTTTATTCTACTCTGACCTTTAAAAATTAAAGGAAATAAAATACATAGATACCTACATAAATATTTGGTATTTACGTCTTATACGTACACCTAGTCGGGACAAATTGTATAGGTACGTCAATATAATATACTGCACTACTTCACTACGACTACACTAATATTGATTTACGAGTTTAGTTTATTAACCTTATTTATTTTGAACAGCTATTATAATTTATAGTGGAATAACCTGTAAGAGAAAGAAACTCCGGAAACAAGTTGTACTAAGTGTCTAAGTAGGTGCTTATACTTTGCAATAATATTATATTTTTAAATCTTCAAATTAAATGTAATAGAATGTATTTTGGAATATCAATAAATAAAATTTCGCTTTTGATATAAAGTAAGTTTTGATTTTTGTACTTCGTCATTGAGTAGGTCATTGTAAATTGTAATGGATAAAATGTATTTGAACTCAGGCACTCAGCAATAAATAATTGAATAGGTACGAAAAAAAACGATTTCGAAAAAATGGGTAAAATAATATTATGGAACTATTTCTAAGGATAGAAACCTACACCTTGTTTAAAGGTTAGGTAAAACTATTGACTTGGTAGTTCAGTAGTTGTATTTTATATTCAATGTCTATACAGTAGATTTCAGAATATGTTTATCAAATTGTAAATATTAAAAAATTAAAATTCATATATTTATATATTTTTGTATATTTTTTTATAATTTTCATATAATTTTGTTATAGATACATGTTTATTTAAAAAAGTATAATATGAAACACTTGGTTTTAATTAAAAAATAATGACCTATATGTAGGTATTTCTTATATAGAATTAAGTCAATTATTTTAACTGTTCCATTGCGTTCTTCGTAGGCGTAGCGTGATGAATTTATATAGGGGGGGGGGGGCTGTAGCCTATTATGTTTCTGGTGAACAACATACATTCTAAAAATGTAACTAAAAAAATTTACGGGATGGGGGGCTAAACAAAATTGTTTTTGGGGGATTCACTATAGCTTCCTTAAACCCCTCATTCTATGCGTATGCCTTTCTTACAACTAATCACATACACATGGTACACAATTCATCTTGGTATATGACTACTAAAAAACATGGTTTAAGAAAATTAATTTTTAAAATTGAATCTACTCGCTAGTTGTTTTGTAGCTATAGTTTCAAAACTTTACCTGAAATATATTAATTTTTATTTTAAGCTACCTAGTTAAATTTCTACCAAACAACAGTTATTGAGGTTATGGTAATTTAGAAATAGGTATTTGAATAACAAAACTTACGTATTAGGTTTTGCGTCAGTTTCTCATTTCAAGTCAAATATTTTATGACTAGCTATAGCCTATAAGTACCATCATTATTGTGGACTCAATACAACGAAAACCGAGTTAGCTTCATTACTGCAACAAATCGAAATGGGACAGTTCATTGTTTTTCTACGAGTGGGCATTCAGTTAAGAATTATTATGTTAAAACGCCTCAAATAAAATAATAAAAATAAGGTAGTCTAGATATTATAGATGCAAATAATCCGTATCAAAATGTGGTGGTTTAATTTTTTTAGTTTTTTTAACTACAAAAACGAATAAATTCAATATTTACACACATCTTTTGTGTTGAGCTACATAATGTGGCAGTATACCATTTTTATATAGAAATTATATCTATCGACTTGCTTTCACAAAGACCTCTCAAGTTTTGAGTCATGACTATGTTGGTAGAATAACGGAATAAACAATACAAAGAATAGTACCTACTGAACCCATATCTAATTTAATTAAATTCTTCGTTGAAAATTCCGTATACCGTCATTTTACCCATAGATTTTATAAGTATTATGATTAAAGCATATAATGACTATGTTAAAAAAAATCCCAGTTTATGCCAAGGGAGGTAAGACTGCTCGTCTGCTCCCAACGTCACTTATAAAATGACACAAAAAAATCGTATATACTTATTTCATTACAGACGTGGTGACTGGTGACGTAGGTACCTACCGCGGAATAGTGTGAATAATTACGTGTCTTCTCAGTATAAATACCTTGAAGGCTTGAAATAAGTTTAGATATTCTGAAAATTTAAATGGAAAAAATGGAAAATTACGTAATGTCAAAAACTTTCAAATCAACAATTTATGGTTTTCGAGTTCAAACAAAATGACCCAAGTCAGGTGTTTAAACGTTCAAATTCGTCAATAATTTAACTTAAAATGCCCGTATGTAAATATTTAATATGTATTTTTGATGATTTTAGTAAGAACAGCACAGACGGTTCGCGTTGAATTTTCAAACACTAGTTATACCTATTGAATTGAACATGACGTAGAGATTAATGCGATTATTGTGTTTGTGTCTTATAGTGCAGTGGTACACGTAGACGTAAGTACGTTTTTCCTTGTTTACGCTGCACGTGTATATGTATAAAAACAAAAAAATTTTCGAACACAGCTGCGTACAAATACGTAATTGATAGGTAGGTGCCTGTAAATATATAAAAAAAAAAAACAATAATGATAATAATATCGAATGCTTGTCTCGTACAGGTACGTATCGGCGGAATTGGTGACTGCGAACTTACTCTCGGTGGGTGGCTATACCTTGAAAAGACGTATACAAACGGCCCGCGACGTAGATTCCCCGAGGTGACGTGCAGTGCGCACCTCTCGCACTCTCGGCAAGGTCTCCGTCGGCGGCTCCGGGACCGGTTTCACGATAATGATTTATAGTAATAATCATTTGTATCTTTGCTCGTTATGAACATATTAATATTATAATAATGAATTATGGAATAATATTATATTTTCCGATTCCACACGCAGAATCGCCGCTGATGGGTACCTACGTCACGACGCACAAGACTTGTACAACATACCTACCTACATCATGTTATTATAGCTTGTATGTCTTGGTATTATCAATAATAATAATAATAATAATAATGTGTTCGGATGACCTTTAGAAATCCTGTTATACGTGCATAATAATATAATACTATAAAATAACATTTATTAATAATTATACATTCCGCGGTCGCCGGTCACCGGTCTGCCGGCTATAGGTGCGGTTGGCGAGTCGTCATCGAGCGCTATGTGTGTGGGTGGGGGGATGACGATCGGCGCGCGCACGTCTCCCCCGAAACGCGCCGCGAAGACCGGACCTCCACCACCGGTTTTCCGCGGTTTTCGCGTTTTCTGTACTCTCGTACGCGTTCGCGCCCATCACACCCGTTTCACCGTGCGTTTGCGTAGGACGACATCGCGCCCCTCTCCATCCCCCTGGAACGAGCCGCCGCAACTGCAGTCGGTGTTTTCCGTCGACGACCGTCGAAATCGAAAAAAATCGTTTTCAAATTTCCCGGCGGTCCGGCTCAGTCCAGACGACATTTTTTGCACACGATATAATAATACAATATCATTACAACTGTTCGTCCGTCCGTTCGTCTCGTTCGCGTCGTCGCGCTGTTGGCTGTTTCTCGGCGAATACTCCGTGTGGCAGGCGCGCCGAACACTTCCGAATAGGATCGAAGCCGTTCCGGTTGACATGTCGGGCCCGACCCTCAAGAGACTTTCGGCGCCGCCGGTGAGTGATGTAGTCGTAGCCCGTAGGGGACAGTTATTGTCAGTGAATATAGATCATCTGTGAATATATACATATTTATAAATCACGAGTATACCACCTATTTTATATAGTCGGCGGCTGTTGCAGTTTTCAGTGCAACCGGTTGTTGCAGTTTTCACTGCAGCGGGCAACCGGTTGTTGCGGATGGGTGGCTCTATGATTGTCCTGTACCTTATAGCTGAGAAATACTGGTGTCCATCACCAAAGTCTGGTACGGTTTATGTGGGTAATCGATTTGAATAATGAAAAACTCGAGGTGAATGAGACACGCTGTCTATGCACTCGAGGTCGGAAAAAAATAGTAAATTCGTAGGCAGATATACATATTTATATATCTATAGTCTATAGTCTATACGGCTGTGTCTAATGATATTAAGTAGTCTAGTTCACTCGTATCTCTTGTAATCTGTATTTACATTATGTTGATAGTTATGCTTAAATAAATATATAAAAACGAGAAGTATTATAATTCAGACAAATTACTGAATACTCATATATATGTGTGTGTATACTATTAGCCATTAGGTATATATAGTATATTATAAATGTAGTATATTGATTATAGAGCTTATCATGCTGATTAAGAAACTAAAACTTGATAAGCAATTAGCATTCTATTGAGTGTAAATATTCAGCATTATAAGGTTTGATGCGTTATCGCCAGCATGGATCATAACAGCGCAGGTAGCATATTAGTTGACGTATTTGCATAATTGCATTGTGTCAAACGATTTAAGAGTTGTTGACCGCAATAAATGACATTTCGAAAATTGATCACCATATTCGTCGTACTTCCAAATTGTTTCACAAAAATGTGCATATTATCCGACGATTAGCATTAGTTTTTGTGCCCGAAAAATTCTCAAACTTTTCTAAAAAAATTTGGCAGTAGGTAGCTTTAGAAAATATTGGAAAAAAAATAGGTACCTTCAACTGTTTTTCACTAAATTGGCTAACTATAGAAGTTACTAAATTCGTAACATGTAGTCTTAAGACCGGCCGAAATGCACGAAACAATATAAACTAGACATACTATTATAATTTACGTGCGAGAAAGTCCTAGATAAATCGTAATATTATAATGATGTTTATATGGTTAATAACAAATCTCCGTTTTAATTTCGTTATATCAACAATATTAATATTTAGGTAAATACCTAATTATTAAAGACATGTAACCATCTACAGCAATATTGTAATATTCAATAAGCACGCGTTGAAATCTAAAAAATAAGTGCATTTTCTATTGTTAAAAAAACACATAAGATGCACTGTACTTCTAACCCACTCATTCTCCTCACATAATATTTCCATTGAAAATAACATATAATTAAACGACTTGAACGTATTATCAAGAATATCAATGAAATCAAATTTCTAGAAGATCTATATGCTATACTTGTGGCTTATACTATACTCATACCTATCTTAAGACATATAATATTATAATTCGATAAATATAAACAATAGACACATTATAAATTATGAGGTAATAAAGGCTAAGACTAAGGCTAAGGCTATGAGGTAAAGTGATTATTTGGGTTTCGTACATAGATACTTATAATAGGGTAAATAATATCTAGATACTATGTACATTGTACAAGTAAAATTTCAAATGTTGAAGTGTCTATATTCCATATCGTAATTTAATATAATATATTATTATTATAAACAATAATATATATAAATCATACGATTTTTTAACATTATTTTTATTTTTGTTGTTGGTTAGTAGCTCCTGTCTTAAAATGTATAATGATTAAAATTAAATAATAAAATATCATAAATATATACAATTATATCTTACAAAAGGCTTTAAATTATACAAACATTTTTAGATTAAGTTACCAAAATTATAAAATCGTAAGAACACTGACAATAGCAACTGCTGTCTGCTATGACGTGTTAGCAGTGTTACTATCTATAGTTGTCTATAGTTACCGGTCTGAATGACTTTACTTATTGGCTATTGCGAAATTATTTTCTACTATTCGCATGTGGCGTGTGTGCCAGGCAAAGAAAAAAAACCTCATAATAACGATTATTATTTTAAATACATGTTTGTACAGGAAAATAATAAATTTATACAATGGTATGTAAAAAAATTAAGTACATAATATCATAAACATAAGAAAAAATTAATTAAATACTGAATATGATCTACAATTTACATACACAATATTGAAACAATGGTATAGTATTATGGTAAATTAATTAAGTAGGTATAATTAATGAAGTGTTTTGAACTCAACTATCTCTTGTGTTTTCTGTTTAATTATGGAATCAACTAAAATTAAAAATACATTAATGTTTATTTTACCTAAACGTGTTGTAAGTATATTACGTGAACCCTATACTCGTCTTTCACTGTTTACATTAACACATGCATTATATATAATAAACTCTAGAGAAATAAAAACATTTACTTTTAAGTAAAGGTAGTTTGTATTTATTTATAATGAGTTTTTAAATTTCATACAATAAAATATTATAAATATTTGATAGTTATTAGTTGATACCTATAGTACGTTTAAATACGATAATTTGTATACCTTAATCATCAAATAGGTTTGACCTTATAATAATTAAACTAAATATGTATTAGATTCTGAGCGGAGCAATTAGTTTGTTGGATTAGATGTTTGTGTTTGTCTGACGTAAGCTTTAGCTTTTATGATCAGTTAAAATGCTCCAATGTTGAGCTTTAATGGTTTTTCTTTGTATATAATAAGTACTTGACGTTCAAATCTTCACAAAACCGAGACAACTTGGAAACTATTTTGTTATTTAATTACAAATGTATATTACATTTTCAATTTTTATAGCTACGGAATGAAAATTAAACACATGGTTCCTCATAAGTTTTTCTTATCGTAATTAAAAATATATCAAAAACAGGTACATTTTGATATTTTTTTATAACCAACAAATTCTTCAAAATCACATAAATTTGAAAATTATTTCATAGTTGAAAATTCATAACGTTTTAAATATTTACACTTAAGGTTTGAAAAGGTAATACAAGTTTCCTTATAAGTTTTTTTCTGGAAATTAATAAAAATAATAGGCTTAATATCACAAATAGGAACTTTTTATGAGTGAAACTCTGAAGTTCAAATTATGACGATATTCGATGTTTAATTAATGTATAGGTATAACGATTTGTACTACCTCTTATAATTCAAAAGGTATTAATTGAAAAAAAACTTGAAATATTCTACTAATACTTAAATAAACTTTCGTTTTCATACACAATAAAATTTTCAAAATACATATGCTAATTATATGCAATTTATAGATTATTAAAATTGTTGAATTTTTTTGTTGTTTTTGGGTAGGTCGAAAATCTTGAAAATGCATTACAAAGTTACTCATAAGTTGTTCTTATTGAAATTTTAAAATATTGAAAATGCTAATGTTCAACTTTTTATACGCGTTTGAAGTTAAAATGTTGTCAAAATTCGTCAAAATCACGAACATTTGATAATTGGTTAGGTTATAAACTCATACAATTTTTAATTTTAATAGATAGTTGACCGTGTCGCAAGTGTCTAATTCTAGTACTCAGTTAGATTACTTTTCACCTGACTGATTCATCCTTATTTCCGGTTAAATACCAATAATATGTTCCATTATTAAAAACGTAAAAAAATCTAAAATTTAAATATTAAACTTAAAATAAGTTTACATTGGCAAAATGAATATGAAAATATCTGTAAATTATAATATTAATTCGAGATCAATTATATAGGTATAATGGTATATATAATATTATAACTTGAACTTTGTTACTTGGGTTTTCCTATTCTTGACCGACGTTCCACTGCGATAATAATAATGTACCTCTTCATTGAAAATTAACAACAAAAATAAAAATACAATGTGAAATAAAAATAAAACCTATATTATAACGTATACAGGTCAACTCAAGTTATTATACTTTACTATTTCTACATAATATATCATACATAATTATTGAAATTGAAACCAATGACATAATGAACGATGGACTCACAATGTCCAAAATCAAAAAACCGTGGAATTCGCTCTTCTGTACAATAGGTGTCCAGTGTACTTTTTCGTTGTCATTGAGTAATGAGTAGGTCACTGTGATGGATGTATTAAATTTGATATTAATTAGTTCAAGAACCAAGGTATAAATGTCTGAATATTAGTGTAAAAATGAATACATTTTTAACTACAAATATATTTTTAAGGTTTTCGTGACTTTTATGGATTTGGTAAGAATTTGAAATTTAAATGCACACATTGTGAATATATATTTTTGATATTTTTTACTTGTTGTAAGAAGAACTTGTGAAGAACCTTTTATCACATTTTCATAAATTTTTCTCTCAACCAATAATATTATCATATTATATAAGTAAAAAAAAGCTAAAAATGTAGGAATTTCAAATATTTATAAACACCACCAAAAGAGACAAAATATTTTGAAAATTGTATTCTATCAAGTAAATGCTAATTTGAATAATTATTGAAAATTCTATATCTGGTTATTATTTGTTTGAAAAATACTTTTCCTAGTTAAACTTCAACAAAATTCTACTACATTACTATTAATTCTCCTCTAACGGCGTTCATATATTTTCATAAATTAACAGACGTCAGAAACTCTTATTAAATAATAAACGCATATTAGTAGCATTAAATTAAGAGACACATCAGCACCATTTCAAAAATGCACATATAACCTGCAGTCTCAAATCCTAAATTCTCTAGTTTAACTACCCTGTTTAATAATTCCCCCACCCCATTAGACATTTCTAAATACGCCACTGCTTCTTTTAACTTATTGATTGTTTCTTATAGTATTAGAATATAGATTGTAGTTCAAATGTACATAGTGTTAGTATACATTTAGTAATAATTAATTATTAGATAAACATTAATTCGTGCAGTATTGATCATTAATAATAATCTAGAAACTTGACCTACATTTT